TTATTTATGTTTTGCGGAACTGGGGATTGAACTCAGGCCCTTGTGCTTGCCAGGGAAGCGCTTATTCCACTGAGCCATCTCCCTGGCCACTTTCTCACCTATTTTAGCACAAATAAAGAATTTAGAAAAACTTGACTCACCCTCAGTACATGTCCTTGTGACATTCATAATGGGATGAAAAAGTTCTTAGTAACTCCCAGAAATATCATATGTATTATTTAAATGATAGCATGAAAATTAGTTACTTAGTACTATATAAACATTAAGGGAAACAGTTAAGTATAGTTTAAGCTAATATAATAATATTTAATGATAAATATCTTGAGTCTGACAGTCTCCATCAACCTCTCAATTTCTTTCTTTATCACAGAGACATGTTAATTTAAAGTCAAAGAAAATTTATGAACAGTGTGACAATCAAAATCCATCTAAAAATATTATATAAAACCACTGGACTTGAAGTGCATAAAGTCCATCCAGGACAGTAGAGAGCTGGCCAGGTGTTAAGCTGTTACATGCATAGACATTACTAAAATAACACTAAACTCTTCCTATCAAACTTTGCTTTCATAAATTTAAATTAAAATGCTTAGAATAAATTCTTTAAAAATCATCTTAAAATGCATGTTCTTTGATAAGGCACATCTTCAAAATCCTCTCTAAAGCATTTGTGAACAAGAAAATTCAAGTTTTTGTAAGTTTTTCTAGTTTTAATAAACTATTTTTACATTATTACACAAATCCATGAATGCAATTATATTTCAATATCTCTTCATTATATCCAATGTTGAGAACCATCTTTGTCAGACACAATGAAATAAGGATGTTCTCTGTGATCACTTCTAGTCTACAAGTTCCTAGTACCTGGATCTGCAGGTGTGGTACTAAGTCTCAGTCAACAGAATCTTGCCTGACTGAAGGATGCACTGGGGTGGCATGACAGTAAGTCTGCAGGAGCAGAGTGCCTGGACTTCACAACTCTGCTGGCCTAGGGGTATTAGAACAGCCTGAACCCTGTGGCCAGGCTGGTACTGCAGGTGGCAAAGAGCACAGGTCCACAAGGCTAGTCTGTAGCCCACAATCTAAGGCATTGGTTTGTTATCTGAAAATTCAATGTGGGAGAAGTTCCTGGATTCTGGATCCATGAACACAGACTAAATTTTATTTTTGTTGATGTTGGCCTGTTTTTTGAATTGAAAGATCCTACATGATTCTGGGGTGGTAAGTCCTTGGAACCCAAGGGCTTCCTTAATTATGGATGAATCTGCATTCTTCATATAAGAACACAAGCTGATGACTTGGGATGCAGGGTGATCTTATTGCAAAAAATGGCTTGAAGTCTTACTCTGCAGTGGCTTCCTGTGACTTATGGGATTATCCTAAGGCAGCGATTGATCTGAAGCCTCAGTCTTGCTGGCTGTAAAAGTGAGGAGATCAAAGGCTCTGTTCATAGATGTCAGCCTGGGTCCTAGGATGAGAGGCTAGTAGAGTCCCGGACAGGACTGGACACATAGTCTCAGGTACTTGCCTGGAGCCTGGGGTCATGGGCATCTCGTGGTGCTGAATTTTCTTAGAGCATCTCCTCTGTTTGGATCCTAGGAAACATTTACTCTATTTTCCAGTCATTAACAAATGTGCGGGGAGACTCCATGGTGCTGCCTAGGGTTAGGAAAAGGGATGCAGGCATTGTCAAACTGCCTTGTTTATAACTTTTGCTGTACTTTTTCTTATTTCCATAGCCTCCATATATTCAAAAGAAAATGAAAATTAATATATGTGTGCAGAACTCCTAGCAATAAAACATCAACAAAGAGGTACCAGCCCTCAAGACAAATCCTATTCTGGCTGTGTATTTTCACTGGATCTCTTGCTGTCTATTGGGCAGCATGAACTCCATTTAGAATCATTCTGTAGGTTAAAGACATGTATCAGGAGAGATGAGGTGAGGGGATGTCAGAATAAGGACATGGAGCCGAGATCGGGCCTCCTGAATGCAGTGCTTCCTAATTACATACAGTAAGTAAGTGGATATCATTGGATCCACCTGAAGTTCAGTTCTTCATGAACAGGCACACTTGGACCACATTTAAATGCGTGCCCATTGGCTATTGTGTATTTTATAATTTAAGAATTATATAATTCTTTATTCCTATTTTTAAATATTTTTTAATGTTTTTATCATATTCTGTAGGGGCTTAAAGTTTAACATATCAATACTTGATGAAAAATACCAGTTCCATGCTATGCCTAAGATGTTTGATGTTTTATTCAGACAGATAGTGAAGTTAATCTCAACAGCTTAGGTTGTATGGTAATAACAATAAGCTTGTGTTCTGCAGGGTTAACAACCTAAGTTTGCAGACCAAAAATTAGGGGAAAAGGAGGGCCGCAAAGAAAGCCAACATTTTGGCCCTAGCCTTCCAAGGTCAATTAAGACTCAGGACACATGAGAACTTGGTACTGTAACATCATGTAACTCAGTTGTGTCCCAAATTTTCTGATCAAGGAGATTATGGAGCCAAAGAGGAAAGTGATTGATGATGTAGAGTCTGCCTAGGGAGAGTCACATCGAGAAAACATTCTCTCAGGCTTCCACAGAAAGTAAATTGGCCAAGCAATGGTCATGACTAATCCACATGGCTGACACTGACAAAGGATCTACAATCCGAGGTACAGGGTCTCAGGATAAATCCTGAGGGGATTTCACTGACCTTTTAAGATCTAAAAGCTACAATTCTTCTTGCATAGGTATTGCTTTATCTTGTTCTTAACCATTCAGTAGAAAAGTATAAAAATGAAGTATAAGAAGTAAAGCCATGGTGTTATGTTGAGCTGTAGGGGAATCAGGTCAACAACTTTTGACATTGCAGAGAAGTGGAAGACCCAATACCACTATGGACTACTGGACTATTTTGGAATATTTTGTTGAGTTCATAGGCCTATAATAATTAAATTACAGAACTAAACAAAAAAGAGGATACAGATGAATAACCATTTTGTATCTGTGTATTCATAATATTTAGGATAGATATATAATACATTCTCTTAACGAATAGAGGGATTTGCTGTAATAGTGTTTGTAAATAGGATATCATGTCTGCATCTTGTACAACAAATAATTACTAGGAAGACAGTGTGAAATGTGTTAATTATTGGATCTGTCCTACAAGTTTGATTTGAAACTGTCTCATTGCTATTTATTTCTCAATAAAATTATGGAAAAATGATTATTCAGATTATACAGGGATAATCCAGACATGTAAGAAGACTACATAATGCCTGTATGGAATTCATCTTAGAAAAAAAAGTTGGCAGAACTGGGGAGCGAACTCAAAACCTTTTGCTTGCCAGGGAAACGCTTATTCTATTGAGCTATCTCCCCAGCCCTTAGATTTATTTTAATTTTTAAAATAAGTCATACATGCCACTTATGTCCTGAGTTCAATTAAATAGAAATTATTTTGTGTTATTTTCATAAATGATGAAATACTTATCTTTTTATAAAGTAATTGATCATTCTCTGTACATTAACTTTCAACCTTTGTACTGACAAATATGATGTCTCATAAAAATTATATTTAACTGGGGTTCAATCTTTGGCTTGCCTTGCTGTCCCTGCCTACAGGGTGCACTGAGATGGTAACTGAGAGGGGCATGGTGGGGTTTGCCTGTAACCCCAGTGCTTGTGACGCTGAAAACCAGAGGATCACTATGAGTTCGAGCTATGTAGTGAGACCCTGTAGACCCTGTACCAAATACATTAAAAAATTAAATCTAAATTTGCCAGTGTTTTTGATTCATTCCTAATAATCACTGACATTTAATTTGTGAAACACTTTCTAAACTTTACTTAATTTTATTTTCTTTCTAATTTTTTTCACTTTCTGCTTCTACGTCTAGATCTTAATGAAATGTTTTTTTAAAAGAGTAATATGGTGAAATGTGTAAAATGACAACTAACAAAGAGACCTAAATGGCCACTAGTGAGTTAGGTAGTAGCATAAGGAATTTTGAGCAAAAAGAAACTATTACAAAAAGTGATAAATTTCACAAAATCTATAAAAGCAGACAAGGAACGCAAGATCCCTGAAGCCGGTCCTAACAGTCAAGGCCCACAGATTACCATTTATCATGTTTTCAATATTCGAGTGATGATGAGGATTGCAGATGGTAAGACAGTGATGAAAGGCTCTGGCCATTGTAAGGAAGAATGACACGCCTCCAGGAAGGTACTGACCTGCACTGCACATCCCCTAGAAAACAGATTCTGCTCACTCTCTATACAGAATGGGTATCAGAGGTGGAGTGGAGGTACATAGAAAATAGGAAGCTGAAGAAACTGCATTTAGTTTGTACAAAAGAGAAATGCATGGAATAAAAACAATTAGAAGGCTGCTACGCTACAGCACAGCATAACAAAAACAGAACACAAAGAAAAATATTTTCATGTATTGGTCATAGGAAATTTGGGGAAGAATATTGGACTGCCAATGCATACAACTACATGCTACAA